CAGCTGCGCCTTTCGCAAGCGGAGAGAGAGGGGCAGGCCGGGCTGCCGCGCCGTCCGATGAAGCTGTCGGCGGCTGGAAGGTCACTGCAGCTTTAACGCGTGGCAGCAACCGGGCAATAAAAAGGTAATTTGATGACTAAAGGCCAGAGCTGGTTTGATTTACTGCTTCCAGTGACGGGAGGCAGCTGGTGGTGTCGTTCAGGAGCCTGCGCCAGCGCCGGTGCCAAGATACAGAGCAGTTATCAGACGGGCGTTGCTGTCGGCTTCGAGGGCTCGCGGGGCTGGAGGTTTTGCTGCTGTGGGCTGTCAAACGCCTGTACGAAGTAACTGCCTCGGTGCCACCAGTCCGGGGCAGCTGGAGGAGAAGGGAAGGGGGCGGGTGACGTCCCCGCAGGGGTGCCGCGCGTGACGCCCCGTGCTCGGCCTAGCAAGCGCGCCTCTGTTTTCTGTCGTGATGGGAATAGCAGGAGCCGCCCGACCCCCGCCAAACCCATCTCCGCCGCCGCTGTTGTCGAGCCTGCGGTATCCAGCGGCGAGCTCTCACGTCAGCCAGGAGCCCGATAGGAGCCGCTTATCAGCGCGGCGCGCGGCGCTGATGTGATCAAACGCGTGTGCCGTTGAGCAGGTTTGTTCAGAGCGGGAACACCTGGGCAGAGCTGCTTTAATTGTAGGTCAGTGGATGTTATTTAACCTACTTTAAAACACTAAATCCAATCTCCAGCAGAGCGGCAAAACACAGCGCGGGTTGCCTGGGGAGGGGAGAAGGGAATTTGCATTACTCCCTGGCTTTAAAATTCTCCTGGGGCCTTTTTCTGTGTAGCTACCGGAACGGCAACGGAAGGAACATCCGAAGCTACAAACGAGTTCTGCCTCTTGCTGGAGACCCGGAGAACTGATCTCCTGGGAACTGCTGCGTCCCTCTTCCCCCGTCTCGCGTTTTCCGGAGGTGACGGTGCAGCGCAGCGGCTGCGAGCAGCTTGACGCCTCTCCGTAGTCTGTAGGCTCACATGAAAGCGAGCCCAGCCCCCTCCAGAAGCGCTTGCAGCGCCTGGCACGTTTTCTGAGGGTTACGTTGTTGGCGTTGGGCCTGACGCATGTACTTTGGGAGGTTAAATGCGCGTTGTTAAACCGGGGAGAGGCAGAGGGCTCTATGTGATAGCTCCCGCGGGGCTCCTTCGTCGCCAGGTTGAGGTTAGCCTGGGTTTGCTATAGCCACGTATGAGCTCCTTGAAAGGCTCTGTAGTTGCACGTCTCTTTCTGAGGTGTTATTTCTAGCGTATCAGCTGGGCGCCTTCCTTTTGGTCTGTCCAGACTGGCCCAGGATTTACAGCCCTGGGCCAAGAACTCCATTTAATTGATTAATTAGGAGATGCTGCGAAACACGGTGGCAGTTGAAGTGAGCAAAGGTTGGTTTTACTGAGCGAGCGTTGGATTGAGTGTGAAAGCAGGAAAGGGGAACGTTCCCGGTTCACCCTCTGGAAGGAAGAACGAGCCTCTCATTTGTTAGCGTCTTGAACACGTGTGGTTTTAACCCTGGGAACCCCCTTTTGGGTCAGTTTGTCCCTTCCTGCATCTCTTTCCTTGTGAATTGGCCTCTCCTTTGTGTTCGTCTCAAGACTCTTGCTCTCCCCGGTGCTGCGTGGTGGCTCTTCAGTGTGGCTCCCCACTTCCCTAACAGGCTGCGATGGCTTTTGGGTCTGTATACAAGCAGCTGCTGCTGCTGTCTCTTGCTGTCACCCTACTGCCCTCTTCTTTTGGGCGCTGAGCGGTATAAACGCGCTGGCTAGGTGCGAAGCGGGAGTTCCCCCTTTGCTGCGTGGATCTTGCCATCTGACCGCAAAGCGAAGCGTCTTGCAGGCTCCCCCGAGGTTTTGTGAGCTCCCGGTGCTGCGCTTTATTCAGGAAGGTGGTAGAAGGCGCGCAGACTCCCCTGCACTCCTCCTAGCTGTCCTGCCACCGAGGAAGGCTCAGGGACGCGTACTTCTCTCTCAAGGGCTCTGTCCAGGAAAGGAGCTTCCACCTCTTTCCAGAGCTGATGGAAGAGAGAGAAGAGACAGGTAAGAGGAGAGGGATACCAAGGTAGGATTTGCCGGTCCCTGGCGTCGGTGGTGGCTCTGGCACACCATGGAGCACTTGGTCGCCGTTGGACCCGAACTTGTGGCACCGGCACGGCGAGCAGAGGTTGTTTTGCAGCAAGGCCGTCGAGAGAGCTGCAAAGGCCGCGAGTCCGCCCCTTCTGCCGAGGGTCAGGCAGGTGAGCGTGTCCCTGGCACGGCGCCTGCTCCTCGTCGCTCGCCGTGGCAGGTCGGAGTCCAGCGGTGCAGGCAGGGTGGGGGAACGGTGTCCTCGGGGCCAACTTCCTTCCCGGCGGGGGCAGGTGGAGTGATCTGGCACCGGCCGGGGGCAAGAGGGGCTGGGGGTGGGTCTGAGCCTGCGCTGTCTCTGGCCTGCCGTGCCGGGGAAACCATTCGGTAGCCCAGGCTGGAGAGCAGTGGCCTTTTCCCGGTGCGACTAGTGGCAGAACCCCTGTGTCTCGGATCAAGACGTGACTCAGTTTGCCTGGCAGGCTGGGACTGCTGAGTTTCCATGATTGCTTTCATGTGCTGCCAGGGACAAGTCTCGACAGCTCTTCCAGAAACGGGTGTGTTTGGCATCTGAATTTGGAGAGCGCGCTTGATGGGTGCTCCGGGACTTGCGTGGCCACGATGGCGAAGAGCCTGCCTCCTCCTCACCTAGCTTGCAGAGGAGGAGGAGGAGGAGGAGGAGGCTGCGCTCCCTTAGCTAGTCCTTGGCGTTGAGGCAGGACACGCAGCTCCGTGCTGCGTCCGCCCGGGAGGGCGACAGGCAGGCGTGCGTTGCTGCCTCTTATAGCGAGGTTTCCCCTCGGGGATCGGCTACACACCGCGTGTCCGCCGTAGGGCTGTCTCGCCTCCCGTGGGGCGGCTTCGGTGCCGGGGAGGAGACTCCCCAGCGGTTGGGGCCGTGCGAGCACGAACGCCAGCGGGCCACTTGGCTCGAGCGACGTGTGGGGGC